TCTCTCTCTCTCTGTGCGTGTGTGTGGCTGCATCTATCTATCGATATATAGAGATAGACCGACCGACCGACCGACCGACCGACCGACCGACCGACCGACCGATCGATCGGTAGATAGATAGATAGATAGATAGATAGATAGATAGATAGATAGATAGATAGATAGATAGATAGATAGATAGATAGATAGATAGATAGAGATATCACCGCCCAGTTTTTATCTTAACATTGTGTCATTGGGCTGTGTTTATCTTCATGGATTTTTTTAAATCATGTCAATTTCTCTTTTTTATATAAATATCAGTTTTTTTAATATTTTAGTCTCTGTGACATTGTATTGTGTTTGAGTGGGTGCTCTTGTATTGCTATTTAAACTTTTTTTTAATGTTACTCTGTTAATTTGTTTTGTGTATAGCACCTTGGGAGCTTTAACCCAAGAGCAATTGACAAACTGAATAAATAAACACGATTGGTCAAGGAAAGAAAGATGGCAGAATACCATACGGATGCTCCAAATAAGCCGGCTTTCCCAACTGAGAGGTGCATCTTGACTTGACATCTTCATCTAACCTTTGTGGAAAGTCCTGGAGGCATGGGCTGCCTACACCTTTGCAGAAGTTCGCGAGTGTTTTTGCCCCTCACCATTCATGTTTTCTCTCCTCTCCACTCTCCCTTCAGATGAATCTAGTCTGAAAATGAATGAGGTGGAACATGTGCCTCAGTCCTTCGCCAGCCATACTGGCAGCTACCTCTGGAATGAACAGAGGAGTGAGCATGGAGCAGATATGCTGAAGCCTGACCCTCGGGACATTTTCTTCCTCAGTAAGTATGTGGGAGCTTGCCTTTTGCTTGTCATCAGAGTACCTGTTGTACTCTGTGCTGGAGAACTGCCAGCAGTCTCTTAGTATCACATTGTGGGGTAAGGGAATTGAGCAGGTGATGGCCTCCCAACTCTAGAGATTATTAGATAAGATGGATTTTCTAGTTCCATTTCAGTCTGGTTCCAGGCCTGTCTTTAGAACAGAAAGAGTTTTGGTCACCTTGGTAGATGGCCTACGCTGGGAACTGAACAGGGGAAGTGTGTCTCTTTTAGTTCTGCTGGACCTCACAGTAGTTATTGATACCAGTGACCATGATGTCCTTTCAGATCACCTATGTGAGATGGGACTTGGTCACGCTTACATTGGTTCTGGCCTTTCTGGAGGACCAGTCCCAGAAGGTGGTGTAAGGGGACTCTTGTTCAGTACCTTGGCCATTGACTTATTGTCCTCTGTGTTAATTAACATATACATGAAATTGATAACAGTCTTGCAGTTTTGGAGTTTGGTCCCACCAGATACTGATGACACCCAACACTCTTCTTTCCGTTTAAATCTGGGGAGAGTTTTTCAGTGCTTGGAGTCTATAACAGACTAGATGAGGATGAACAAACTGGGGTTTAATCCAGATAAGATAGAAGGGTTTTTGGTAATGCAAAAGGCAGATTAGAGAATAGGGATTCCTTCTGTGCCGAATGAGGTTATGCGGCCCCTGAAAAATCAGGCTCACAGTTTAGATGTGCTCTTGCATTAATTTTTGAGCCTGGATGCTCAGGTATCAAGCGATTGCATGAGTTGCACCTATTCTTGGAAATATCTGACTTGGCTGCAGTGAAACCTACCTTAATTACCGTGCATTCCAGCTGAATTACTTTAATGCACTCCATGTGAGGCTGTGTTTGAATAGTGTTTGGAAACTTCAGATGGTCCAGAACAGTGTTGCCAGATAGCTGACCAGGGCCAGTTATAGGGAACATATAACATCCTTCACTGCCCACTGGTCCATTTTGGAGCACAATTGAAAGTGGTGGTTCTGTGACCTATAAAGCCCTGTACAAATTGTGTCCAGATTATCGGAAAGACCACATCCTCCATATGACCCTGTCTGGGCTTTAAGATCTGTGAGAGAGGCCCTTCTCACAGTTCCATGATCTTCAGAGGCCTGTCTGGTCAGGACTTGAGAGAGCTTACTCAGTAGCCACCTCCAGGCTTTGGAAGATTTTATTAAATTGTGGCAGTTAAAAAAATGTAAGTAGACTTTTTGACATTTAAGAGCTTTCAGTTATAAGATCCCATTGGATGTGCTGACTTCATCATTTTAACTTAAATTATTATTACTATCCTGTTTCCCCAAAAATAAGACCTAACCTGAAAATAAGCCCTAGTATGATTTTTCAGGATGCTCATAATATAAGCCCTACCCCCCCAAATAAGCCCCAGTTAAGTGAAACCCCGCCCTCCACCATTGTGCAGCAGCCAGAAGAAGATGACATGACTGTATTTGAATAAATGTAGATTGTTGTACATGAAAAAATAATAATAAAACATCCCCTGAAAATAAGCCCTAATGCATTTTGGAGCAAAAAATAATATAAGACTGTGTCTTATTTTCAGGGAAACATGGTATTTTAATTCACTTTAAAGAGTTTTGATTTTAATTGCATTTCAGTCATATACTTGATTTTAATTCTATTTAATGTTTGTCACTTTATTATATTTTATCTGATATTGTTTTAAATTATCCTGTAAGTCACCATGAATCCCAAGCCTGCTAGAAATGCAGCAAGCAAAGGAAGGAAGGAAGACACAGTTTTCTGGAGAAAACTATAGCTCTCCTTGCTGTGCTCTGAAACATAGTAAAGCAAGCTAGCAAATGGAAAAGAGTTAAGTAAATATTCCTTTGGAATATTTATACATTGGAAACAATTAAATGGAACTATCATCTTTGCAAATGTTTGCCTTTGTCCTCCCAAACTTAAGATATATTTTTCAATGGGTAACAGTTGGATATCCCTGCAAGACTGGGTTAAATTAAGAAGATCTGCCTTGAAAGGCAGTATTATGTCAAAATAAGATCTCCAGAAACTCTTAATCCCATAAACACAACCTCAACATTGGTCAGGAGCAAAATAATTACTAGAATGGCAGGAATCTCTCTGCACTGAGTCTAATCCATGTTGAGTGCCAAGAAACATGAATTCTGCTACTACCACTATACATTTGCAAATTAAAAGAAATCATGCACATTAAAAAAATAATTTGTTCCATAGTTTTTGCTATTTTGCATAATTTATTTTGGATAGTGATGGGGAAGATAAAGGAGCTATACTGGGCTCTCCCCACCCCCACACTTTCAGTCTTAGGTTTATTTCTCACGAAAAGCAGTCAATTGGTGTCTGAATGATACTACATCATGTTGCAACCAGGAGCTTGCATGACTGAGTTTCCCTTCTCTATGCAAAAAGAAATCCCTATGCAATTACTGGGTGCCAAGGGAAAAATATCTGGCACTTGCCTCCCATATAGAACCCAAGATAATGGCAGCCTAGGCCACCGAAATGGGCTCAGAAACTCCTGATCTCAGATGGTCTCCCAGGTTAATCCTATAGCTTGCTCTTACTTAACTATCTTTTTCCCAGCTCCCCAGATTGAACCGTCCCATGTGGAGAACGTGCTGGTGCCCTGTGCTTACAGCCCCACATATGTGGTGAAGGACTTCCCTATTGCCCGCTATCAGGGCCTACAATTTGTAAGTGTCCTATTGTCTCCAGACGTCTCCACTCTTTTTGCAAAATATCTCCACTCTTTTTGCAATCCCTTGTCCTAACATATCTCTACTCCAGTACACTGGGGATTGCTCGGTAAATGAAATCCTAAAAACATCATTGCTGGTGCAGTGGTGACCAACAGTTCTAGCAGAGACTAGGTCAATACTAAAAGCAAGGTGGTTGGTCCAGGATAGAAAAAAGATGCAACAACAAAGAGGGGATGAGTGGGGAATTGGGGTGACTCCTACCTGAGCACTGGAAATGCTTTTGAAAGACTCTTGGCTTCATTGCCTTAACAGGCACAGCGTGATGAAGTAAGAGCTTGTATTCAAATATGCATAAGGAGGGCCAGTTCTTAGTACAGTACATTGATTTCCTTGGGGGAACTTGTACAGTGGTGCCCCACAAGACGATGTTAATTTGTTCAGCGAAAATCGCTGTTTAGCCAAACATCGTATTGCGAAATGCGGTTCCCCATTGGAATGCACTGAAATCCGTTTAACACGTTCCAATGGGAAAAAATCGTCGCCGTTTTGCGAAAATCGCCCATAGAGAAACCATTTTGCAAAGCGCGGCTCAGCTGTAAAAATCGCTGTCTTGCAAAAAAAAGTCCCAAAAACACCCATTTTGCAAGTCGCGGACTCAGCTGTCAAAATCATCGTCTTGCAAAAATCGGTCCCGAAAAAAACGGTCTTGCGAAGCACGGTTCGAAACATCGTCTAGCAAAAAATTGCCCATAGGAAACACCGTTTTGCAAAGCGCTATAGCGATTGCAAAAACTCATCGTTTAGCGAATGAACCATTTTGCGAGGTAATCGGCTAGCGGGGCACCACTGTACTCATAACCTGAGGCAACACCATGTGCTCTAGAGTTTGTCCCCAGAGCACATTTTTCTGCGCAATATAATGCACCCCCTCCTCCACCCAACTTGTAGAAACAGGAACATACGTGGCTTGCTGTGACTCTACTCACCAGGTTGCCCCTCCCACAGGTCTACCTCTCATTTGTTTATCCCAATGATTTCACCCGGCTTACGCACATGGAGACAGAGAACAAATGCTTCTACAGAGAGTCCCCGCTTTACCTGGAGAAGTAAGTGTGAGGCAGGAGTGCAAAAAAGATTATGGCTGCGTAGCTATTAAGGAAATCATAGTTAAAGGAAATCCCATCACACATCTAGGGTTGGGGAAGAATGGTAAGACTGTCATCTCCTGGCAAATTAAGTATACACGTAATGTAAAATGTAAAGGTAATAAACATGGATTTGCCCCCAGAATTTTCTGCTGTGCATGACAGTAGAAGGATTGTGGCAAAGCTGACTGCCCACCATGTGGACACTGTGATACGGGGATGGGCTGCCAAACCACATTTTACAGAGGAATCAATCCAGAGTGGGAGCCTTCTGTCACTTCTGGGTTAGATCTGGGCTGGAAGGGTGGAAATATGACTCCCATTTCTGGATGTCCATTCCCACATGTCCACACTATTCCTAGCCATATTTATATGTCCACCTTTCATCCTGATGCTGTTCAGGAGATGTGAAAGTCAAGTTCACACTTCAGTGCTGAACTGCCTGGCACTTGCACTGCAGAACTGAGTTACTGCTTCTCCTTGGCCCACTTCTGTTATCGAGCCAGGTGCACTTCATCCATGTGCATTCATAGCAAGCAGGGCAAGGCAGAATTTGCACATTTTCTTCTGATGGGCTCTGAAGTCTGAATTCAACAGTAGCTTTTGCCCGTCAGTATGACTGTATAGGGATACATAGAGACTGCTTCATGCAGCCAAGAAAGCAGGCTCTGGCTCCCCTAACTCCCCCCCCCCCAAAAAAGCTTATGCCACAATAATTTCATTAGTCTTGTCTGATTTACTACAGTGGGCTATCCCTCTGTGAAGGTAGTCCAGATACCTGTTACAGTGTCCTCCTAAGATTTAATCCCAGACTACCCTTTAGCAACACAGTTCTGATGTATATGTTAATCTCTTGTTTGATATCTCATGGTTTGCCTTTCCAGATTTGGCTTTTACAAATACATGAAGATGGATGAAGAAGAGGAGGATCAGCATCAAAGAGGTTTTCTCTTCCTCAACCCTGAGAGTAAGTGGTTCTGGGGAAGATTCAGTTTCTTCTAGCCAGGAAGATGCCATTTGGATATTTCTGTCCAATTTGGAAGCAGTTTCCAAAGGCACTGTTGGGTTGCTGCTGGTGCAAACAGGCAAATCTGTTGTATCATGTCTGTTTACAAAGTCTGTATCCCCAACCATAGTGAGTTATATCTCAAGGCGGAGCTGTGCAATAGATCACTAAGTGAGGAACAGAGGCAGCTGGAAAGAGAGAGGGAGGGAGGGAGAAGAAATGAGGCCACTTTGAACATTCCACAAATGTATTCATTGAGCAGAACACTTTAAAATCTTTGAATTTGTCTTGTTGGCAAAAGAGAAAGGGAAAAAAGGTGGGGGGGAGAACAAAATATTGTAGCACTTTGAAGACTAATAATTTAATTTCAGTGTAAGCTGTTGTGGATCAAAGTCCACATCATTACACACAGTATATTTATACATATCCTCCTGATGAGGATACAGATAATAGACAGAGTGACAGTCGTTCATTAACACAGAAGTGGGACTGTCAAGCTGTACTTTACTTAATTAATAGGTTGTGGGCAGGGGGATGGCTTTAGGCCAGATGGGCCATCAGATGGCTTTAGGCCAGATGAACTTGGTTGCAACAGGAATGCATACATATAATAGACAAAGTGATCCGTTATTCCCTCCTACCTTTTCTTTTGACAGACTAACATGCTAATTCTTTGAATCAAATTCATAGATCCCCTGCTTTTTTTAAAGTACCATCCCTTTTGGCACCAGCAGTTCAAGTTAAAGTAGTATCCTTATTACAGGGTAATTTCTGAGTGTCTTGTTAACATAGGTGCATCCTTTTTACTAGGGATGTGCTCTAATTTTTTATTTTTTTGGCTCTTACTGCCAGTATTCTCTAGGCAAACTTCTGAGTGTTCTAGCTCAGAGACACCATCTACAGTTTGCTCAGCTGGAGAAGGGCCTAGATCAGAGACTGACCTAGCTCCACCCTTGCTTCCGGTTGGTCATCTACAAAAAAGGAAGCTGCAGTGGTGCTTCCTGGGAGTGATAATCTTAACTGCCCTTCAAGCTGTATAGAGGATGCCTCCCAAAGAGCAACTACTCCCAGGAAGCACTATGGTAGGGGTTTTTTGGTTTTTTTTTTTGTATGTTAGCAAAAGGAAGCAAGGCTGGAGCTACGTGTGATACTTGGTCATATTAAAATGTATTATTTATATTGTGTTGATAACTGTATTGTTTGAAATGCCTTGGTGTAATAAGTATGTGATGGGAGGGAGGGAAGGAGGAGCATGGGATGTTGATAAGAATGGTTCTGATTAGTTGGCAGAGAAACTAGATAAGGAGTGGAGAGCAGTCTGGTGTAGAGCGATCAGAGAAGAGGGTAGTTTGGCGGTCCATGTTTGAGAGAGAGATTGAGAGTGGGAGAGCTATAAAGGATTGTTTTGCTGAATGAATTTAAATCCTAGGAATAAAACAATCTTCTATTCAAACTGAGTGGTACTGAGCCCAATATCTGAGGGCTGGTGATGTGGAAGATGATCTAAGGGCCTGATACTGATCTAAGGGCCCTCATTCAAAATATAGGGAAGAAACCTGAGGTGTTTTGAATAAAAATCTTGTTATGACTTCCATGGACCCTGTTGCATCAGAAAGGTTGACATTACTGAATAAAATGAAGATTTTGGAACTAGAAGCCAGACAGACAGACTCCAAGGTGAAGCACAAGAGAGACAATTAAGGCTCCAAGCAGAGGGCAGATAAAAGAAATTAAGAATTCTGAATGAATTTAAAGCAAGAGAATATCAGTTGAAGGTGGAGAGCTTGAGAGTTAATCAGGGTTCAAAATGAAATGGAGAAATGAAATGTGTGAAGCTCTTACTAAGAGAAAAAGTATCCAAAGATTTTGGTTTTTGTTCGCTTGGCAAAGATCCTAATTTAATTCTTGACCAGTTTTGAAAAGACTGTTCAGAGATGAGAAATTCCTAAAGCAGAATATATGAAATTCCTCCCTAGCCTTATAAAATTTGAATTAGCTGAAGTTTACAACAATCTTCCTTCCAATGTGCCTATTGCCTATGAAACCTTTAAAAAAGCAGTATTTCAAAGATTCAGGCCTGGGGCCTGAGCATTTCAGGACATGAATGAAACTTATGTCTTGTCAATGACAACAGGGAAAGTCATGTATGGATCTGAGTATGAAGCATACAGATTTGTGGCCTAAATGGATGGAAAATGAAGGGACAAATGCCATTAAAAGGGTTGGGGAAATAATGATTTTAGATCCCTAGAGACAGACAAAAGCCAAAAGAATGTAACTGAGGCAGCAGAAGCAGCTGACAGCTTTGCCTTGCACCATGGAGGATTTTGTGAAACCCATTCTGAGATAACTGCTAAGATGGAAGGAAGAGGGCAGTTTAAAAATAAGCAGTTAAGATCCCCACAGCAAATCCCAATAACTAAAGAAGAAGTGACACCCATGCCATCCTGTAAATCAGCCTTGATAAGAGACACTTCAAATATCATACACAATATTTGTGTGAGTAAAATGCACCAAAACCAAAGCCCAGTAAAAATCAATTAAAATTGTGGAAAAGTTTTCTGAGGAGGTTCTTCTTAAGGTTGAAATGTGTTGAGTTGAACTGTTAAAGAACCAGGAGATAGGAACTGATTTCCATAAGTATGCAATTTTGAAAGATAAAACAGTATTGGCATTTGTAGACACTAGGGCAGAAATATCTCTTGTGAGAGAGGATCTAATTGATCCCTCAGAAATAGACTCAAGGAAAACTCTGGCCATAAAGGGAATGAAGGGGAAGCCAAATAAGACTCCCTCAGTAAAAGTTAAGATGGGCTAGAGAAGAAAACAATATAAGTGAGTCTGAATGATGAGCAAGACATGTCACTGATTATTGGTCCAGACTTGTTGTCTGAGGGGACAAAAGTGATTATTATAACAGAAGTGAGAAAAGCAGGCTGGAATGATGAATAAGAGAAAGAAGGGGCAGAAGCAATTAGGAACTGTGACAAAACACCACAGGGAAATGAAGTTTCAGATTGTCTCAATAACACAAAAGAAACAGTTTAAGGAAACTAGCCTGAGAAGAGAGCCTTAAAACTTTAAAGCAATGTGTGCTGACAGAAAAGAGGATGCATCCAACATTAAAGTGAATGCTGGGGAGGTTCTTTTGCCACAAATGAATATGAATAAAGTCCCACAACCCACTCCCTTTTAAACCCATTATTTGCCTGAACAGAAGAAGAGTAGCTGATTCTTGCCTCACTTCTGTGGGACAATTTATTGTATCCTCAGCAATCTGCTGATCTCTGCTCCTACCTCTGCCTTTGCTTTAGGTTTCCAATTGCTCACTCAAGCAAGCAGCTTCTGCAGTCCAAAGGCAAGTTGCCCAGAATCTTTTCTGTCCTGAGAACAACCTTGTGATTACCTCAAAATGCAATCAATACTTTCTCCACTCTAAATCTCATTTGTTGCAACAAATATATTAGACTTCACTATCTCTTTGGCATGCAGCCTTGATCTTCACAGTGAATTTATTTGGCTTTGATAATTAGTACAGGAAAATGCTGTCTTGAAAGAGTCATGTGGTGTAAGTTTATGAAGGTCTACGGCAGGACTTGGTCATCCCAAATCCTAGATGTGTCCAGAAGAGGCAAAAATTATGCATTGAACATTAATTATACAATCAGTACTGTTTTGCATGAATTCATTTTCTTAGTGCATTTAGGTTTAGTTCCACAGAATGTGTTGGCAGTGGCAGAGCAGGAGCAGAAGAACAATTTCAGGTTTATGGAAGGCATCTGTAAAGAATAGGTGATGAGTGACTGGAGGCCCAAGACTGGGAAACAGCACATAGCCAGGCAGAAGCACAAAATATTTTCATCCCCTTAAACCAGTAGTTCCCAACCTTGGGTCCCCAGATGTTCTTGGGGAAAAAATTCTCAGAAGCTTTCACCACTAGCTCTGCTAGCCAGAATTTCTAGGATTTGTAGTCCAAGGACATCTGGGGGCCCAAGGTTAGGAACCATTGCCCTAAACACTAGAGGTACTGACAGATGCTACTGTGCACCTTCAGATATATTTACAGAATTGTAATATTTGGGTGTTTTTTTTTAAAGTGAGTTCCTTGGAGATCTAGATTATGCAAAATAATTACACAAAAGGAATCACCTTGGTTTAAGCTAAGAATTTTTAATGCATCACCAATATATCTTACAGATGTTGCAACAATTGCTAACATCACTAAAAAGTGGAGTAGAAAGGCTTTGTCCATGAATTCTGTTCTCCAACTCTCTGCCCCTGCCTTTCATGACTGCCCTTATAAGCCTTGCCACCATAAAGCTTCCTTGCTGCATTGTTTTCTAGTCCCCCTACACGCAAACGTAATCATTGAGACGTTATCTGCTTTGTTATATATTGTTTCCTAGATTTTCTGGAGGAAGAAGAGGAAGGAGCTGACAGTCCAGAACCCACCGACCCACTCCCCAATGCTAAGAGGAAGAACCGCAGTGTTTTGGACCCAGATGTGTTCCCTGGGGTGAAGCGGAAAGAGAAGCTCCAAACCACAACAGATTATGGGAATGACATGGACTACTATCCCTTACATCAGAAGCAAAAGAGGTTTAACCAAGACAAAGCCTTGACAGGGCAACCTGTCGCCACAAGTACAAACAGCAGACCCAGTTTGAGTCCTGAGACTCCATCCAAGGACTTCCAGATTTATGAGAATGCAGCTGCTCCTGGAGAACAGACCGTTGTCCATGGCCGGTTGCTCAGCTGGGTGCAGGATGAGGGGGAAACAATGGAGGAGAAGAGAAGGAAAGGGGGTGACCTGGAGCTGCTGTCACCGTCAAAGCAGGATAGCTCCCCTGGCGTCCAGCCCCACCTGTCTATGCCCTTCTTTACTGGAAAGGCAAAGCAGCAGAGTCCTAAGGAGGAAAAACAGCCCAAGAAGGATACCAAGAAGCCCCCAGAGAAAGTATATGTGACCCGTCTGCAGCCTAGCAAAAAGAAAGCTCCCTTGCAGAATGATATTTTCCCTGGAGTCTTTCTCTACCCCAAGCCACCAAGGAAAGTACACTTGAACTCCAGACTCCCTCAGTGGCGCCCTGCTCCCTCCGACAAGCTCCATACATTCCCCAGACATAGGACTTATTGGCTTACAGGCAATGGCTCTAGGGAAGCAGAGCCTACTAGAAGGAGAAATCAGAGGGCCAGCAAGAAATGGGAACAGCTATATGATCGGGAGGTCCCCAAGGGTAGGAGTAAGCAGAAGACACATCCCAGTGTTTCAACCTTGCCTGAAGAAGGGCTGTTCAGTAAAGAAACCTTTGAGGTCACCACCCTGGCAAGGACTACCCTGGATTACAATTCATCAGAGGTAGTGTTGTCCGAAGGTGTGCGAGTGACATCTTTCATGCGGATGTCTGAGATGACAGAATCTCAGCAGGAGGACATTGAGGGCCCAGAGAAGGCCCAGGAAGAGGAGCTGGAGGAAGAGTTGTCTGACTACAGCTATGAGAACTCTGAGTTGCAGCAGAGCTGGCTAGAGGACTCCATTAATTGGCAAAGGACGTTCAGTGTGAGCCCTGTGGACTTTGAGCTGCTGCGTTCAGACTGGAATGACCTGCGATGCAATGTCTCAGGAAATCTGCAGCTAAGTGAAAGTGAGGTTGTGGACGTGGTCGCCCAATATATGGAGAAACTAAATGAGAAGAATGGAGGGTAAGAAGAAGAAATTGGAGGGGGAACATTATACTAGGTATAAGCAGCGTGCTGTCTACCAGGCATTTTGGCCTGTCGTTCCTAGGACTCCATCTAGCATGACCGATGTATTGGTGAGACATTAGAATAACTGCTTCCTATCCCAATCAAATGATACTACAAATCATTGTGCACAGACTTAGTTTCTGTTTCCCAACATTTTTGAATTGCGACCCTTTTTTATAATAGCCAAGTAACCTGTGACAGACACAAACACACACACACACACACATCACATCATTGGTTGTTCTCTGCTGGTAGATTTGGCACATCTCCTTATAAAATTAGTTCAGGACTAACATTTCGTCTAGGGCTGTGCACGTTTTGTTTACTTCCTGTTTCAAATTTAGTCCCACCCACCCCCATGCACACAGAGCAAGGCTCCTGCACAGCGGAGTAAAAAGTTAGAGGGAATTTTGTTCAGGACCATCGCTGCAGGTCTGACTTTTCCAGTAGCAGGTAGTACCAGCACCCACCCTCCCAGAGCAAACTGTCTGATATTTCTGATACGACTGCTGCTGCCGTCATTGCTACCACCACCATCACCTCTCTGATGACAGCCCAAATAATCAGACTTACTGGCCTGGGCAGTATTTAAGAGGGAGAGGCCACAAACAGCACTGCTCTCAGACGTCTTTCTGCTTGCTTCAGCCAGCTACAGCAGTAGCACCAGCAGCACCAAACTGCTGCTTTCCCCTTCGTTCCCCCCTTCCTTCTCCCGAGCTGTGGAGAGGGAAACGGGGGGGGGGGGGGAGAGAAAAACAGAAAGGAAAAGCTGAGTAGGAAAGCAGAGAGGGTGATGGTGTGGATAGGCCCTTTAGAGGAACACTAGCCACTCTCCCTTATGCTGTCTCATGAGGTTTAAGCCCCGCTCCCCATCCTCCGGAACTGTACTGTTTGGTTTCACTCATGCCTTGCAGTGTTGGATTGTATGGCTGAAGCTATAGTGGCCCCACCAGAAAACACAGGGAACCTGTGGTAAGACTATGATCAACCTACAGTTTAATCAAGCCAAAATAAGTACTGAGCTGCCAGGAGTCCTTCCACACTTCTATCAGCCCCAAGTCTTTGTTTCTCTTACATTTGGTAAGTGGTGAGACACACAAAGAACACTTGTTTGGAGGAAGGCCTCCCCTTTTTCTGGAACTGCCAGAGACTCACTCTGTGTGAGAAACGAAGTCCATTGTAACGCCTGGTTTCATAATCCACCCATCTCTTCCAAAACCTTGAAGATTAGACCTGTTGGTTTACGGCCTGCCAACTAAATTAATGCTTGAGATCCTGAAGCACAGCTTTACACTGTGCAACAATGATGACACCATCAGCCATTTGAGGGCAATAAAAAGCTTCCTAGAGCTGCCCCCCCCCCACACACACACACACCAACCAGGTTTTGAGGAACTGTAAGGATCTTTTTTGTCTCTCAACAGCTTTTGAGAGCTGAAGAATGGAAGGGGGAACAATTTAAAGCCAGAAAATTGCTGCCACCTATCCTAGCTTTTTTGTGGCTCCAGAATGGCCACAGCTTTTGACATACATATTTGCACAGAGCAGCTGTGTCATCAGGATTTCAGCCACAGTGACTATAGTTTGCACTTGTTGGGAAGTCTTCTGAGTGCACATTGGTGTCTCCTGATATGTTCATAAAAATCCTAAGTGAAAAAGAGTTTCTGGAATAGGAAGAATCCACCATTTTGTGGGTGAGCGTCATTGTCGTTTAGTTGTGTCCAACTCTTCGTGACCCCATGGACCAGAGCACGCCAGGCCCTCCTGTCTTCCACTGCCTTCCGTAGTTGGGTCAAATTCATGTTGGTTGCTTCGATGACACTGTCCAGCCATCTCATCTTCTGTTGTTCCCTTCTCTTCTTGCATTCACACTTTCCTAAC